GCCCATAGACTCAGCACTGCCCATAGACTCAACACTGCCTCGAGACTCAGCACTGCCCACAGATTCAACACTGCTCATAGACTCAGCACTGCCCACAGACTCAACACTGCCCATAGACTCAACACTGCCCCGAGACTCAGCACTGCCCACAGACTCAACACTGCCCATAGACTCAGCACTGCCCCGAGACTCAACACTGCCCATAGACTCAACATTGCCCATAGACTTAGCACTGCGCATAGATTCAACACTGCCCATAGACTTAGCACTGCCCATAGATTCAACACTGCCCATAGACTCAGCACTGCCTATAGAGTCAGCACTACCCATAAACTCAACACTGCCCATAGACTCAGCACTGCCCACAGACTCAACGCTGCCCATAGACTCAGCACTGCCCACAGACTCAACACTGCCCATAGACTCAGCACTGCCCCGAGACTCAACACTGCCCATAGACTCAACATTGCCCATAGACTTAGCACTGCCCATAGATTCAACACTGCCCATAGACTTAGCACTGCCCATAGACTCCGCACTGCCTATAGACTCAGCACTACCTATAAACTCAACACTGCCCATAGACTCAGCACTGCACATAGACTCAACACTGCCCATAGACTCAACACTGCCCATAGACTCAGCACTGCACATAGACTCAGCACTGCCCATAGACTAACACTACCCATAGACTCAGCACTGCCCATAGACGAACACTGCCCCTCTCCATTATGCAGACACCCTCCTCAACCTCCTTCCATTCCTCTTTTAAAGCCTCACATCTTCTCCATCGCCCATTCTCTTCCCCTTCTAGCCCCCACCGCCCCTCCACTCTTTTCTGTCCCTCCCCAACCCTTTCGTGATCCCTAAGTATCCCCTCTATCGCTGCCACTCATTCCTCAATCCTTCGACGTTCCTGGCCATCTAGATAATAATAATATTCCCTCACCGTGTTGTCAGTGATGTCAAATGCCTTTAGTGACGGCGCTCTATGAACGTACAAGTAGATGAGATTGCCGTGAAGGGGCACCCTTTAGCTTCTTGGGGCCCGAAACCTTTTTCCCTTCGTTTTGTCCATGTCTGGTGCCACCACTGCGCGCGAGAATTTGCTAAACAGTTCAATTAAACGATGCTTTCTTTTGCCAGGTAAGGCCCCACTGAGCTATGTAGCTCTTTTTCAGAAGCGACCTGGCTTTCCACAAACGACAGCCCAATGCAGTGGCTTGTCGTCGTGCGCGAATGCATAGCAGCCAAAGGCTCCAAACAGCACGCTGTTTCTCAATGTGCTGGGAAAAACCCGGAGGGACGCGGAGACAAATCCACGCGTCCGCTGGGGAGAAGAGAGCGAGAAAGACACGCAGACTCCGAACACACAACGGGCGTCAGGCTGGGCACCGGACCCCACGCCCTCCCTGTTACAAGCGTCGCGGCAGCGTTCCCGTTCAAGGTGGCCGATCGTCTTTCCATTGGCAGAATTTCCTTAGATGGCGAGAGAGCAAAAACGCGTGTGCTTGCTCCGCGTTACCCAAACACAGGCCAAGTTTTACGCTCCGTGTCCTCTCTTCACCAAACAGTTATTCGTCAGCGTCATTCTGTTATGGAAAACGAGCGTGCTCGTCGTTCTACATGGGGCTGTTGTGCGCTCGGCAGCATCCTTCGGGGTGGCGGGAGCTTGACTCAACATTTTTTGTACGCGTTTCACCAAATGAGAGCGCTTTTAAGTCAATTGTGTTTGGCTTTTTGTTCAAGGCAGACGGATCGATGTTACCGCGGTGCAATACTCGACCGGTTCGATTCGATCTCCCCACGCGGACGTTCGGAACTTTTCTTTATACTGAAGGAATCCGTTGAGCTATGAAGCTCTCTTTTTTTCTCACAGATGTCCAGTAAGGGGCACGGGGTCAGACCGTTACAAGAACAAACGACACAAAGACACCATAGAAGTGCAAAGAATCAATTTAGTCCATGAGCCAGATCTGAATATTGGCACCGCCTAAGGTGTACCCATATATCCATTTGGCTAACGTGGCGTGAATGAAGCGATATATCCCACTCATTTCACACCGCTAACACGTAATTCACCGCTGTCGTGCCACACAATGGAATCGGGAACCCCGCTAAATCGGCGCCACCTCGCCGTGGTGCCGGCGAACGAGAGATCTGGTCTGGGCCTCGCCGACCTAATGTGGAAAGTTTCTTGAATCCTCCCCGCATTGTTACTGTGACGTGAACTCTCGTCGCTTTATTTGTCCTTGCCACATGTCAGCGCTGTTGCCATTGTCGTCGTTGTTGTTTACGGCGCCTAAATAATGAAGCGCGCTAATATTCGTAAACGTTTACGAACAGCGCTGTGCATCGTTTCCCCATCGCGCAGTGACTTGGGTTGCGCGTAAACGTTATTTACTGCAGATGGTTGGCCTTGCATGTGTAAACAGACCAGGCTGGAGTGTTTGTGTGTGTTTGTCTGTGCGTCTTCATGCCATGGAGAGCGGTAGTGCAACGGTTAGCGCATTGCGCTACGAACCCGGCGACCCGAGTTCGATTGCCGGTCACGGCCAACATCCAGTGACGATTATCTGAACCGGTTCTGGGCCTCCCCTAGGCCGATTCAGCCTTAAATGAGTACCTGGTGCGGTGTGTAAACATTACCACTCGGGAGACAAAGGCGGCCAGGCGTGGTGCTGGCCACCCATCCCCTTTGTGTACCGTGCCGGTTAGGCTATACGGGGGATCTTTGTCTTCCTCCCTAGACTGTAATCACTTTCCAGGTTCAAAAATGTTGGAGTCACTCCACAAACTTGCTTCAAAAATTTAATTTCGTCCGGAGCAATATTTGTTGGATATGTTTCACGCAGCGTTATAAATATTCAACACATCATGGGGGAGCCAGTCGTCACTGTCAATGCTGAACGAGCTTGGAAGGAACTTCCCCCCCCCCCGCCGCGGTCAACTTTCTTTCGTGGAACGCACTCCACGGGTTCACAAACTTCCAATGAACGTCACGCCGCGTGCCCCGTGACCATCACCTGACGTGTGCGTTGGGGGGTGACCGGGGTCACGCTGGAGTTCACAGCGGCCGAGCTCTCCGGCACTTTGAACTGGTCGTAAATACAGACTTTAGAGCTGTCTTGGTGGCCAGCTGGCTCCGAGCACAGGGCATCGGATTAGCATCGCCAGGAATACCCGTGGTTCGAATCTGGCCGGTTAAACCGGGTTAACGTTACACGTCGTGTAAAGGTCTTTTTTTGCAGCCAATGTCATGAATCGTATAATTGATATTTGCGTAAGGCCACTATGTAAGGCGTTTAGGCTGTTTCGATTATTTTGCCGCTATAAATGTCCAAATGAGAAGCCACTTTGTTCAGCTATCGTTTGTGGTCAGGTCGCTTTTGAACAATAAGTGAATACCTCCGTGGGCTTTGTCTGGTAGGATGGGGATGGTTTCGTGTTGTATTTGTTTGTGTTTGGGTGTTTTGTTTACCTTTCATAATAGAGATTGTTTGGGTTAGATCGCGTAAATATATAAATGTGTCGCTAAGACCCGCCACCACCCGACACAGCCAACTAGTAAGGTTTGTCACGTAAGCCGCAACATTTACAATCTGAGTACGACGCTTCGCCAGTGGCGGGTTTTAACGACACATTAATGTATTTACGCGATCTCACCCAATAACCTTTATTATGGATGATATTGGTCTCGAAAGCCTACTACGTGTTAAACTTGTTTACCTTTCTTGCAGTTTGCACTCCTATCGTGTTTATGTATCGTGTTTGTTGTTGTAACGCTCTTACCCGCCACGACTGCACATCTGTGAAAAAGAGCTTTATAGCTCATCGGCTCCCTCCAGTATAAATATACAGTCTGCTTCTGAGCTGACGACCAAACTGTGTGTCGTCAAAACCCTCCGCCACCTGACGGGCCAAGCAAACTGAATTGTCACGCGGGCGTTATTTGTGTCAGCTCATCGGCGTGCTGAAGGAAAATTCTCGTGACCAGTTTCAGCGAGTAGAGGATACGCTCGCCACTTTTCGTTTGAAACTGCCTAAAACGAAAACATGCTCTCTGATAGGTCGCCAATGCGCGCGCACACACACACACAAACACATCAAATGACAATGTTGATTTGAAGCTTTCGTGACTGCAGGAATCCATACTCTTTGGTTCTTTCGGTAAAGTCACGTGGTAGGTAGATTAATAATAATAGATCACGACGTTTCTATCGCCACACAAGCAGTCGTCTTCAGGTGGGAAGGCGATTGCTTGTGTGGCGATCGAAAAGTCGTGATCTATTATTATTATTCTACCTACGTGACTTTACCGACAGAACAAAAGAGTACATCAAATTACATTTGATTATTCAACAAACATTGATTTGGCTCAATTGCAGCTCTTGAGAATGTTTCTGCCACGTAACGAGCGATGTTATATCAGTGTGTGGTAACGTGTGCCCCTTGTGGCGTGATACAAAGGTGACTTGAAGGATTTTTTTGTTGGGGAGAAGTTGTGTAATTTATCTCTCTTCCACAGCTGTTCTCTGACACATGGGATGCACTGCTGTGCGCGATTTCCGAAAGGATTCTTGAATTCATGAACCACACAAATCTCTCCTTCTGAATCAGTTCTCGCCTCCTGCAACTCATGTGACTTCCGTGTGACCACTCCATATATACAACGGGCGTCAGAGTCCACGACCTCCTGTCGTAGTTAACATGTCACTGCTGCCCTGTTGCACTGCTGACTCTACTCCCCATCCAGTGGTGTGTCACGGGTAAAAAGTATTCGAAGAAAGCAATTACAAAACATTATCAATATTGAAACAATAACATAATGGCCTGTTATTATATTCACTCTGCAAAAGTTTGGAGTGATAATTTGGCATACAGTGTTTTGGTCGGATTTGTGATTCAAACGTTCATAAAAGTTTCAATTTATTACGCGTATATATTTGTGATATGGCAAATGAGACATCGCGATAAAACAAAAAAACACGCCTACTGTATAAAATTGCAACCGTGACATTTATTACAAAAAAAGTTTAGTAAAGAAACATTACCATATAAAGTTTTTGCAATCACAAACAGAAAGCATTGCTTCGTAATTTCTATCATTATTTTATACATATATTACGTATTCACGTTAATTTCATATAGCGTTTATAATACACAAACATACACCACTGATATACGTTTAGGAAATGGGCTAATTGGACGGTCGTTAACGAGGGAGTGGGACAGCTCCACGGTTGTCGGGTTGTGCCGCTGGCTGTTGCTTGGCACGATGTCCGACGTTTTGCTCCACATGCCGGGAGAACTGAAGAGTCCATATTCCAGCTTTCTCCTGATTTTTATTTTTTTGCTGGAGGGGGGGGGGGGGTGGGGGGGGTGGTCGGTGTGTGGGTGGCTGGGATACAGAATTATTTCCGTTTTAGCCACTTCCCAATTGAAGTGTCTGTAGACTATCAGGACACTTGTGTTTAGACACGGTGGGGTGGTGGTGGTAGTGCCACACCTGCCTCATGCGCGGTGAGTCGTATTGCCCGTGAAACAAAAAATGAACACGCCAACGTCAACCCCCTCCTGTCGTGTTTGCCGGGGGCTTGCACCGCGTGTTGCTCGGCATGATGTCCGACGTTTCGCCGAACTGAAGGAGCTCCTTCCAGCACGTGGAGCGGAGCGTCGGGACGTCGCACCAAGCAGCAGCAACAACAACCACAACGACGACAACGACAACAACAACCACAACAACAAGACGCGAAGCTGTGACCCGAATAACAGACCGGAGAGAGCTACACGGCCACAACCGCAGACGTCACCACAACCACCCCCCCCCCCCCCCCACAACGAGCGCGCGCCTCACCCGCATCACCAGAGCAACGCAACATCGTTCGTCGGCAAGCCGCGCTTTGCCGTAAAGATTCCCAATTACGTCGCCGTCGAGGCCCCTAATTCCCCTGATTGACGGACCTCGTTAGTAGCTCCAGCCTGCGGAGGCGGTTGAAGAGGGATTGCACGTACGTGAAGACGCACTTGGAGTCGGGCCGATTCCCCATAATGATCATGTCTTCCACGTCCAGTAGAGGGTCACAGTGGGCCAAACGCCTGCAAGGACAATCAGGAGGACGAGAAGGGGGGGGGGGTAGGGGAGGGAGTGTGACGCGTGAGCGATGACCGGTACCGTTAATTTAGTCGGGGATTTCAAGATTTGTTTCGTGGTCTCGTCGACGGCAACAACCCGCGGTGGTGAGATGTTAACTCCCTCGCCTGGTATGCAGGAGGTCGTGGGTTTGATCCCGACCCTGATGCCTGTTGTATATTTGGAGTTTGCATGTCTTTCTCTCTCTCTCTGCCTGTGGTCGCGTGGATTTTTCTCTGCGTCCTGCTGTTTTTCCCTCCATACTTAGAATGAACATCCCGCGTTTAGAGCGTTTGGCTGCTATACATTTCCACATGGTGATAAGCCACTTGATTAGCCACGTGATTAGCCACGTGATTAGCCACTTTGTTGAGCTATCATTTGTGGCCAGGTCGCTTCTGAAAAAGAGCAGCGTAGCTCAGTGGACCTTACCTGGTAAAATAAAAAAATACTTTAGTTTAGTTTGAGATTGGTTGGGAAGTTTCGGTGTGGAGGTTTCATGTGGCCTTTTGGGTCTGTGTTTAGCAAGTGTGTTTAAAATATATATCGTTACAACTACCGTAAAAACGATGCAATTTGAGGCGAAATTTGTCGAAAGTTGTTATTATTTGACCCTTCCTGCTGAAATCAATAAAACCTAAATCAACCTTAGCCAAGGCGTAAGTTTCTGGATTATAGAGCGCCTCTATAAAGGCGCCTCTATAAATATAAATTAGATTAGAATTAGATTAGAATTAGATCCCATTTACTCTGTCTCTTCGTCTGCTCGGCGAAAGCAGTCAAACATTTAGGGCACCCTTCGTTATTAAACGCGGGGGCGAGGGAGCGTTGTAATTATTACCGAGTGGGCCAATCGGCGAACTCGAGTAATCCTTATTACAGCACTGGATATGCGCACAGTACACACATAATGGAACCTCCCTGGCCAGTATCGAAATATAAGAATGGGTTTTACCCTTTCTGGCAATAAAACAGTTGTGTTAAGATGTTAAAATACCCGACAAAAACCTTTTTTCAAGGAAGCATGTATGCATGGACCACATATACTCGTGGTGAACATACAAACATAAACGTACTCTGGTAATATATGACGATGCATTGTCTTTGAAACTGATTGCTCCACACCAGACACAGCTTTCTTTAGAGCCTAGTCTCAAACGGTGTTAGACCAGAGGACGCCTAAAGGCGAACAGCACAAAGACAATGCCACTATCAGGATATCGAGAGTACACACACATACTGTAGGCAGTAACCATGTTTGGCGCTGAAGTCTCATAACACGACTAAATGATCTTAGTCTACGTCTTGCTGTTGTCATGGCCATGCTGCTGTCTGTGGTAGGGGTAGTCCTCTCGTCTCCGTCGTTTTTTTTAAGTTAACTTTGGTCCACCCGAGGTCGAGCCCGGGGGGACGTGATTCAGCCGTGTGGGAGCGAGAGTCATCAATATCGGGCCCCTGAAAACACAACAACGTGTGTTTCTGCTGCTTCGGCATTCCTTGTCCGTGGCCTCTGAAAACCCGGCAAAGCGAAGGGAATGTGACCGCCGGTTTAAAAACAAAAATAAAGCGTTTAAAATATCGGACGGCCGATGCTGTAAGTGGGGGGGGGGGGGGGAAGGTGGGCGTGCTGTCGGGGCGTCGCTGTTGTGTGTGCCGTAACGGATGCCACCCACGGCTGAGTGTGTTAGCGCCCTCGCACGAGCCGTGGGTTTCTCCGGGGTAACTCGACTTCTTCCCCACGCGTAGCCAAGCCCTCGGTTCATGGTACTGCCCAAACGTCAACAATGCAGGAAACCTCCTGGAAATAAAGTTGTCGCGACTGGCTCAGGCGTTGTTTGATCATTGGCCTGAGTATTATTATTATCATTACTACCACGGTTCTGTATCTATGGGAAGTTGCCACAGCGGTGTCACGGTTAGTACCCTGGACTTGCAATCGAGATGCTGGCGGTTCGATCTCCCAGCGTGGCAGTTGAAACGATGGCTGTTTCTTAAGCCCTCCCCCCGCTACTGTCGATCCAGCGGACCGGCAAGGTCACGAGCGTCGTGGCAAGGAGCGGGAGACAAAGGCGGCCGGGCGTGGTTGCTGACCACCCGCCCCCTCGTGTGCCGTGCCCGCCTTCATCGGTGCTCACGAGCAGCACTTGCCCCAACAGCCTGTTAATGCAAGACTATACGGGGGATCTTTGTCTTTGTTTGGCAAGGAGTGGGTAGTGTGGAAGAGTAGGCCAAAATGTCCCTCCCCCCCCCACCCCACCGCCCAGAGGGGTATCTCGAGGGCTCCCAAGCTCGCTCTCGTGGAGGCCCTTCTGCCAGCAGTGGCGTCAGCAAGCAATTACAGGGCTGCGCCTTTACCTTTTACTGCGGTGGTGGTGGTGGGAGAAGTTTGTTGAAAAACAACAGCACGTTGTAGTTTGAGATCATAATGGATGGCTGTGCGATGCTCATTCGTCTAAGGCTCTAGGTTGTGCTTGACCCCCCCCCCCCACCGCGATCAATACCGAATTAAGAATGGTGAACATTTATAGATTATTGAATGCAGAGGTTGTGACACCAAACAAATTACTTAATTGGACAGGGCTCCACAACAGGGGTAATCAGAGGTCTAAAGCCAAGGCTGGTACATTAAATTATCCTTAATAACGTTTTTTTTTAAGATTCACTTTGTAAAATAATAATTTTGTAAATCAATATAATGTCTTTTTTTAATGCCATCAGACTAAAGTTTAAAGTGTTTATGAATAGCTGACGAGGGGTGTAATGGGGCGAGGAATGCACGATAACTCTGGTAAAAAAAAAATGCACTATAACCTCAAATTAGTACAATGTTGTGTCGCTATTAGTCCAGTAAAAAAATTTTGGGCACATCTGCCACCCAACGCTCCATCACATCATTAAACATAAAAACGTAAACTTCGATACAGTTGACAATATATATATCATTAAAAGCAAATTGTGGCCGTAAGTTAATTGTTGTTTTTGGAAGTTGCCCTTTTGAAAATAAGCGAACCTGATCAATGGGAGACACAAACCTGTATCCTGGCTCTACCGGCTGAGGCGCACCCTCCTGGGCAAGGCCGATATCCGAGGCCCATGGTCTTATCGTGGCCTACGCTCGGTTTGTGGGAGGCTGGGTTCACGTCGATGATGATTTTGATGGTGATGTGTGTGTGTGTGCATGCTTTTTGTTCCTTGTTCAATTACGTTACAAGAATTAATATAAATCTTGACTTAAAGCTTTTGTGACTGCAGGAATTCATATTCTATGGGTCTTTCGGTAAAGCCACGTAGAAAAAAAAACAAATAATAAAAGTTATTATAACAATAACAAATAATGTGATATTATTGTTTTAAAATAATAACAAATAATGTGATATTGTTATTAGTTTTATTATTTGTTCTATCTACGTGGCTTTACCGAAACACCCGAAGAATAAAAAATATATATATTGTTTGGCAATTGTGATCTTTTTTAATTAAGCATTTTTTTTCTTCCCCCTGTTAAATCTTTCACGGTTAATTTACAAAAAAAAATTCAATTTACTCCGAATGGCAATGCGTTGCCACCTGTTGCTGTCACGTTTATAATACCCCGAGGTGGAGTTTGTTAAAAATTTATTTTAATTTTCAGCTTTGGCCGCTGGTGCCCATAATAAAATGAAACTTTCAACGGTTTGGAACAGCTGACAAACTACCATTCAAGAATAGTAGTAAAAAAAACACGCTGTCTGAATACTTACAGACGTCCGTGACTTACTGAATGAACGGGTGACTCGTGTGAATTGGAGTAAGTTGGCCGAAACGATTCACTCGATGAATTGTCACAATGTGGAGTTGGAATTGCATTCAACAATGTTGTTCATGCGGTGCATTGTATCACCCGCAATGGCTGCAGGGGTTCAATTAACTGTTCTCGAATATCATTTCTTCTCACATCAACGATTCGTTGTATGTGTAATAACCGAACATATCCCCAAGCCAATGTGCAGCCAAACGGTTATTCAAAGGTAGACGAAGGTCTCCGATTGGCTGAAAGAGGCCTCCACACGGATTGGTCGGCAGGCAGGCTTTTGAAGTGATTGGAGGAAAATGTTTGAATGAGAATAGGCTGGAAACAGAGTGGAACCCAGAGGCGACGGTTGGGATCCGTTAGAGGGGAGGGACAGGGATTGGCTAAGGGAAATACAGTGAGGGATCATTCGAGAACGGGGGACTGGAAACATATAAATGGGCAGAGCACAAGGGGAGGGGACGTTCGAGGGAAAGTACAGCTTCAAGAACCCACGACCTCCTGTATACCGGGCGCAGGTAGTTAACGTCTCGCCACCGTGGCACAGTTACATCCCATCCTTGTTCGCGGCGCGAGTCAATTGCTAAGAGGAGCGCGGCACTCACTCGGCGCAGGTGAAGGCGAGCTGGAAGTTGTGCCGCGGGTTCTGCGGACTCAGCTCGGCGAAGTCGAACGCCTCCGGGAAGTAGCTGTGCACGAGGGCGCAGAACGCCATGCCGTCGCACCAGCTGGACGAGAAGTTCCTGACGCTCACGTTCTGTGGACGACGGCGACAGTTTGCTGCGGTTTTCGACGCGATAACAACCGAGGCTGAAAGCGGGGCAACCAGTGGCGCAGTCACTGCATCATCAGCTCAGGGGGTGCAGCAATTGGTCAGGTGGGGCCCCAATATTTGATTTGTCTCGCACGGTCGCACTTGGGCTATTACATATTACGGCCTCCTCTTAGTCACATCGTGACGCTCAGGGTCTCACATTTAATTCCGTCGGGATTCTCCGTCTTCGCGAAATGCAGCCACTGCAGCTCCGTATTAACGTCTGTGCAACATTACGTGACTGCTCTAATGAAATTTAAATTAAACGTGGAACTAAATGAAATCATTGTGGTAAAATATACATTTAAACCGCCTTTTAAATAAGCTTCAGTTCTTTTACACTGTTGTTAAAAAACATATCTCGTGGTGGTTGTCAAGGAGATCCCAACTCATAGCTTTGGCCATGAGGGGGGTTTGCAAAGGCACCCCCCCCCGGCCCCCACACTCACTACGCTACTGGCCGGGTAACGCATCGGTGCCGGACACTGGCGCAGAGACAGAGAGAGGGACGCCAGCGTGGAGCAGAGCTACGAGCTACCCACCGCATAGTTCTCCGTGCGCGTCTTGCACCACTCGAGCGTCAGCTGCATCACGTTGCCGGGAGACATCACGCTGGCCGAGCGCTGCAGCGGAGTTCCCTGGCCGCCGGGCCCGAGTCTGCGGCGAAGTGCGTCGACGTCACAATGACGTCACAACGTCGTCACAACGACGTTGTGACGGTGGCACGAGTTACCGAGCGAGGTGCGGCGCCGTTCAAGTAACAAAGACACGCAGCAGGTGTGTTCACAATCTGCTCCTTCCCTTGCCACCGCTCGGCTTTGGATTTCCACCTGCCAACGTCTCTTTTTCCCCCAGGCTATTAACCCTTTCCTGTTCCAATGACGTACACGTATACATACGTGTACGTCATCAGTTTTTCTTCCTAGTGCGGAAGGAAAACTCAAATGAAATAACTTTATCAAATAAAATTACTTTATAAGTATCAAGGCTCCCATAAGGCCATGTGGGACGGTGTGTGGCACAATTTGATGCCAGCTATCGTAGAGTTTGGTCGTGTCTCTACAGTTCTCTGCGGTGAGTACGGTATCCTTTAAAAACAACAGCGCTATGCCCTTCTAAATAAAGTTAACGCTGAGCTGCTTGCGCATTCCGAGATTCGGCGGTGAATGGGACCCACCCTGCAACTTGCAGTCATCTCGAAACGGGAAAGGCTTAACTTAACAAATAACCTCGCTCAATTCAAGAAACGTGTCAACTCTTTATATCTATGACATGCTCTTATCGTGCTCTTTGTTACTGGCCGTGTGACGTTTTTGGCCTGTGCTAAGCGAATATAAAAAAACCACGACAAATGCACGATGCCCCATAATGTCTTGCGTGCGTGTCACGTGACCACAATGCATGTGCAATGCTCTCTAAATAATAACACAGCCACACCTTCGGCTCTTCGGAGCTGGTGGTCTAAACAAGGCAGAAAGCAATGCACGTGGCAATGTGATGGTCACATGACACGCACGCGAGGCATACGGATGCGAGTAGTTGCACCTCTGCGTGCCTTTTTTCTATTTGTGCACGCATGCTTCAGCTGCGACGCGTTTTCTCAACATGTGCAGAAAGTGTTGGATTTGAATTATCCAGGGCCGTTTCCAAAAAAAGGCAAATCACTCTTATTTCGTAAGTTATGTTGAATAGCTAAGGTGGTGGCAACTAATGAGCCCGCTCGCAATGACGGCATGGGACGCTTGAGTGGTGGTGGTGGTGGTGGAGAGGTCAGTACCAAATTTGGCCACTAACGTCCCACCAGGACCGGTATTGACTCCCAGTGCCAGGTAATTTTTGCGAAGTCCAATCAATCCTTGTGAATTTCACACCAAGTATAGGCACTAAAATATACACGGATAGAAATGAAATCCAAACTTTTAGGAGCATCCCAGGGCTTATATTCTCATTGAATATATATTTTATTTCTGGGTGGGTCGCTGGTAGACTGCAGTAGGTGGCACGTGACTAGTAGGCGCTGGTAGACTGCTGTAGGTGGCACGTGAATAGTTGGCACAGCCATAGCCATAGCAAGAGATAATACTGGATGTGGTGTGCCGGGCACATACATATTTTCTGAGTTGCTGATAGAATGGAGTAGATGCAACGTGACTTAGCCAACAGCCATAGCCAAGACAGAGATAATACTGGATAATGGTGGTCGCTGACATGGATGGATCTGACTGACATTAAACCCTGGTTACATGCCCCTATCCAAAGGGCTTCGTTTTATTCTTGCTTCTTCGCACAGGGGCCACTGAACGTGTGAGAAGATGCAATTGAAAGGAAGGAAAAGCCCTGTGAACAGAGACATTGACCTGAACAAAACCAATTTTTACCACGGCACAAAACCAAATTAGAATTTTCAGAGCCTGAATTTAGTAAAATGACACGCAGCATGTTAATTCGTTTTAGTTTCTTTTTAAACAGGCCCAATGCTGCTGATGAGACCCAAAAAAGTGGGAACCCGTGCAAGGGTAGCCATCGCAACCGCACCTGCCGTCCTTCCTTCCAGAAGGGCCCTGCGCCCGGCAGCCGAGAGGACTCGCGTTCGTGCCACCGCAGGACGAATGCTCCGGCTTCGCCGTTTGGTCGCCACGCTGATGACGCAATGAGTCCCAACCGCGCGAAGCCCTTTGGGAAAAGCAAAATGCCGTGGGAACATTGACTCGGCGTGAAAAGAAACGTGAGCGGCGCGGCGACCCACGGACAAATGTACGCGGCGCGTCCCTCAGCATCGCCGGGTTCTTACCCGTCAACAGTCGCAGGCTGCTTCGTGTGGCTTCCACTTGGCGAATCGCCTGGAAAAATGAACAAAGGTCACGGCAGCGTTAAACATGCTTTCTGTCGCCTTCCAGCTTTACAGCCCCGAGCAGCTCAGCGCTGGAGCCTCTCGCAATTCGAGAGGTGGCGGGTTCACATCCGGGTCGGGAAGAGTCGGCTCACACACGTCGCTCCTCTCGGCATCGATAAAACGAGCGCCTAACTTGTGCAGAAGTCAATGGCGGTTGTCCCATAGGGTTATACTTGCACCCGCCATAGCAATGTGGAATGTCCAGCTCTGGCTCAGGGCTTTTAATGGGAGATGAGCGCAGCCTCAGTGCTCATTTGAGCTGAAAATCGCTCTGACTTGTTTGCTATTCGATGGTGTTTATAGGCTATTTGAAATTACTATTTTAATTGGTTTTGTCTTTTATCATGAATTTATAATGATTCTGCTCGATCAGTGTCATGTCATGAGATGAAGTGTCCATTTGGAAGACTCGCAGAGCAGTGCGTCATCTTGTGCCAGAGAAAGGTGCGATGAAGGAGACATCACAGAACTACATCTCAAACACCTTCCTCTGTCCCTTTTCTATTGACACGCTAGGTAGCCCACTTTCCCGCACACATTGTCGCAGACATTCATGTTTTGTCACGTGACACTCAAATCGAATTAATGTATTTCTACTTAAATGTAGCCACATTGAGCGATGAACCAATTTACCACGACGCTTTGTAAAGTCATTGATGAGCAGGCCAACAACATCAACTGGCTACGCTTGAGAAGCCGGTTTAATCACGGGCGCCTAAGATCCGCCCAAACTGAACATCTGTGAAAAAGAGCTTCAAAGCGCATTGGATTCTGCCAATATGAAAAATGATTTTGAATTCTATAAAATAAACTATAAAAATGTTATTTTACCAGGTAAGGCCCACTGAGCTATATGCCTCTTGTTCAGAAGCGACCTGCCCACAAATGATAGCTCACACGAAGTGGCTTATCACGTGGAAATCTATAGCAGCCAAATACTCTAAACGCACGTTGATTCTAAATTTGGAGGAAAACACCAGAGAATGCGGAGAAAATTCATGCGACCACGGGAAGAGAGAAACATGCAAAATCAAAATATACAGGTGTCATGGTTGGGATCGAACCCACGACCTCCTGCTTACCAGCTGAGGTAGTTAACATCTCACCACAATTCAAACCGAGCATCTCAGCGGCTCTGACACCTGGCCACCTTTTGTTTGAAGACCCTCTTAAGAGCTCTACTCAAACCGATGCGACTGAATTTAATCAGTTCGGGTATTGACATCTTGTCAGTCTCGACGTGAAAACCACATTACAAACACACGGCGCCAGCGAAGACACGCCTCCTGTGGTGCGCCGTGTAGGCCAAGTCCCGAGGGGTGCGCATTTAGGAATATCTTTGTTGCCCTTTTCAATCTCCCAACGAAAGGAGCACAGTTTATGTTTGCCGAGCGACAGTCACGGTTTCAGCGATGCCGGGTCCTTCCCGGAGAGATGATTGTCAAGTGGGTTTGTGCACATTCAATTTTTATTCTGCACGGTACCCACGCCAGAGCCTGCGCCTGCCTGGAAGACCCCGAGGGTTGAGAACCACCTGTTTAGATTTCCTTGACGGAGGTGACCATGTCGTTCCCCAATGCCGTGCGCGTTAACCCCAACGCTGCTGCTACCTCTTAGGCTTCTTGTCCGGGCCTGCCCAAGGCTTCGGGGCGTTTCGTGCACGGCGCTAAGGCAGGGACGGCGATGGAGGGGGCCGATGTCGGCCATCGGACTCCCCAGGTGTGTGCCGACACCGCCGCGCCAGGCCAGTGCGCTGGCCGACCGCGCCAGTCCAGAGAGAGGGGTGCCCGGTGGATAGCCCACGGAGCTTGCCAAGTGGGCGAGCGAAAGCTTGTCTCCTCTGTCGCATCGCTCTTCCGTTGCTCGCTTGTCGGTCACCGGGGACCGCGTGGCTGATGGGACAACACGAAGACGTCTTAACATTTCCTGGCACCCGGTTTGATTTCGTGAGGGAAACAGTGACGAGTGTTTTCGTAAGGTAAGTGGGGGTTTTCTTGTATTTGAATCAACGATTGTGAGTGGATGAAATGATTGAACACGATGACTGCCCGCGAACGACGAAAGCGTGTGACCGACTATGACGAGACGATGTGAATAAGTGTGAATAAAGATGCAAACTAAGATAATTTACGAAATTTATGAGAGACAGCAGTGCACTGAGGAAGATGTAAAAAAAAGAAAATGTTGGTGTTCAGCTATTTGGGCGACGTGAAAAATAAAGGGCGCGCACAATTTCGCGCCCCTCACGCCAACATTTAATAACGAATACCGGACGGAATGTTTGACTGCCATCGTCGGCTGAGAGAACGACCGAATGAATCCACGGCCTAAGTCTCGTTTACATTTTCAAAGGTTTTTCCCTTAATTAGACGAAGGCGATGACTAAAAAAGAAGAAGAAAGACCATTAACAGCGGTCCGTGCGACGATAATAAGCCTGAAATTACGCGTCGTTTGTCGCCTCAAAATGGCGCGAGTTGCGTGGCATTTTGATGAAATGTCAGCAGCGTCAAAAGTTAAGATTTTAATTTTATTATTATTATTATTCACATCGCTGAGCACAGGCCCCATGTACGGTACCAAAACGGCAAGAAGCCAGCAGCAATCAGCACTATTAAGGCAGTCGCTGCTCGGAGTTAACGCTGTCCCTTGAATTGAGCAAGGTTGTATGAAATATTGACTGTGCAATAGATAAAGAGTCGGTACACTTCACTGATTAAAGCGGGGATAAAAAGAATAGTCTGCAGCAGAAATGTAATCATGGGGACCTTTGTTATTGCTCCTCCCAATTTCAACGTTTTAATTTCGGAATTAGATTTGTCAGCGCAAGGTCCTGAATAATTGTGCGGAACAATGAATAAAACATTAACCAACAGTCACGAAAGCCTTTTTGCAGACCTTGTTTCCAGATTCACTTTTAAATAATTCACAGCCCTTCTTGGGAACATGTTTTTTTATGTTACCAGGTAAGGACCACTGAACTACGTAGCTCTCTTTCAGAAGTGACCTTGCACACAATTGATAGCTCAACGAAGTGGCTTATGTCGAAATTTATATCACCCAAATACTCTCAACGCACGGTGATTGTAAATGTGGAGGGAAAAAAAACGGAGAAAAATCAACGCAACCACGGGGGAGAGAGAAGGAGAGAGATGCGCAGCGCCCAAATCTAGAGGCGTAAGGGTCGGGATGGAACCCACAACCTCCTGTATACCAGGCAAGGTAATTAACATCTCACCACCATAGCTTTAACAAGAAAATAAACACGCACACTCTGCCGCGACTCTCCTCGGCGTGGCCCTGGCGCTCAGTAAACTCACCTCGCGACTCCCGGCCCACGTCCCGCATGGCGGCACGGATCCTCCTGCGCTCGTTAACGTCGCCGGTTCGATGGAGCTGCGTTCGAGGGGCGGTGGCGGGGCGGTAGAGCACGGAGAGAATTAACATCACGAGTGGCGAAGCAGCGTGACTCGTATTGTATCATTTGCGGCGGGCAAATCGGTGTACGTTAGCCTGCGGCTCTGCAACTTTCTTTGGGGAAATCCGAGCTCTGAGAATTACAATATTGGTGAGGCGGCAATGCGACGGGCATTACTCTCACAATGCAGAGCAGGTGGGAAAGTGCAACCCTCTACTGTGTAGATCCAGAGCTCAACCTGAAGGGATCTCAGAGATAGCTCTGTGATATCCACTTCCACGGACCATTGTCTAACACGAAGGGTCGCGCTGCTCCACAAGAGATCAAAATCGATCGTTCATCTCATGACAAGACGCCGATAGCACATTCGGAGATAAAAATATGGACAAAGAGCCACAGTATGTTAAATCTCTGCTCCAGTCAACGGCAAACGCACACGCACGAATCACGTGAGAACATTCCTCTGCCGGCTTTGCTACCCACCAGGTCCCAGAGCGTCTCCTTGTCCCTGCGCTTGTCTCCGCCATCTCCCTGGGGCTCTGCGTCATGCCCCCACACGTCCAGTCGACCGGATCGTTCAGCCTCGACCGTTATGCTCCTGCTGCTGCTGCTTTCATGATGTGACTCGACCACGGTCCAATGTTCACCAGTCAACGCGTCCTTCTCCGTCCTTTTCTCTCGCTCCTCAGAGCTGTGTCCACCCTTGAACCAATCCTCCTGCGCAAAGCGAAATTGGAGCTTTTCCTCCGACTCCTCAGCCTCGTGTTCAACTCTCACCCATTGCTTCTCTGTGAAGGGAATTTTGATCCTTTCCTCCATCTCCTCGGCATCACGTCCACCTTTCAACCGTTTCTTCTCCACAAAAGCAACCCCGAGCCGTTCTGCCAGCTCCTCCGCCCCGCGTCCCACACTCAACCGTTCCCTCTCCGCAGGCGGACTTTCGAGACGTTCCTCGACTGTCTCACGAGACGGCCGCCCAGCATCCGGAGGGGTCGCGCTCGCGAGCACCTCGTCGCGACCCCTCGTCGCCGTAGATCGCGCCGTCAGCTCGGGTTGCCGTCGACCCCGGAATGCTTCCTCGTCGTCCCCCTCCTCACCCCGGCACTGCGGGCCACACAAGGGTGGCTCGCCAAGGTCCACGGAGCTTGCCTGAGCGAGCTCCGTTCTGTCCGCGCGTTGCCGTTTTGCTCCTGGGGCGGTGGGATCTGGCAACGGGGAGAGGAGATGCTCCGCCGACGGTGACCTTTCGTGACCTTCAGTAAGAGGGAATTCATTAGGCGTAGCCGTGTCTGTCAGCGGGCATTTGCCCCCTTGGCTTTCTCCGACGGTGATTGTACGCTCGCCTGAATGCGTACGCCTGCGTGCCTCCTCGCCCTCCGAGGGTTCGGCACAAGTCGCCAGCTCCGCCGGCTTTGAATGTTGGAAATCGTCGCGGTGCGTCAGCGACGGCGCACCCGCGTCGTGGCGGTCGCTCGGCGCCCGCCGCTCTTCGCCGTTCGCCGCGACTTCGTGACAGCGACTTTCGCTGCTGGCCAAAGGCCACGTGCTGGCACCGTGGGCCAGCCCAGCATCATTGGGAATGCGCGCGGATGGCGAATCGGGAGTACGCTTTCCTCCGATTGCATATTTTCCGTCCGGGGAAAGCGCAGCAGGTCGCGTCTCGGAGGAGTTCTGCACCGCGGTGAGAACGGGTCTGCCGGCGCTCTCGGCTGACCGCTCCTCCGCCGTTGGCTGCCCCTCAAGACTCCTGCAGAGACGCTCAAATTGGGCAACGAAATCTCGGCAGTCTCGTTCCTGGGGGGTCTGGAAATTGTGCGCACAGGTGCTGACAGTTTGCGCTCCGAACATCGTGGTAACGGCGCTGGTGGCCTGACAGGAACTCAGTGTTATCCTGGCAGCGGATCTGGAATGATTAAGGCTTGGAACGTGGTCCGTTTTGTTGTCCCTTGATAGAGCCGTCCCCGAAAAAGGCATTGGAGGATGACATTGGTGCCCGATGTGAGATATTTCTGATGAAAAATAGATGCTGCTGCTGCTACCGCTGCTGCTGTTGTTGTTGTTGCGGTTGTCGCTAAACGTGTCGGATTTCGCAAAAATGGTGGCTTCTCTTGTAGCTTCCACACAACAGGCGGCGCTTTTTCCCACGTCGCGCTCTGGCGCGCCGGCGTCGCTCTCGTCACCAGGCCCGACCGTTGCCCTCGCGCACGCGGCAACACCGTCGCCCGGCGTACCCGCGGCGTCGCCCGCGTGGCCCGGCAGGCGCGGCGAGCCGACAGCCGCCTCTGCGCCATCAGCCGACCGCCCGTCATCCTCCCACACGCGTGCCGGGGCGGTCTCCGCGCGGCCCGCGCGATCTCCCCACCCGACCGCAACTTCTCCTGCCCGCACGCGACCACCGCCGTCTCTTGCGGCAGCGTCGCACCGCGCCACAGCTGCCACCGCCGTGCGTCCGTCCTCTTCCCGCTGCCCGGCGGCGGCGTCGTCGTCGCCGTCGCCGCCGCCGCTACCCGCCGTCGTCCTTCTTGCCCGCGACGCCGCCGTGCCGCTCGCTGTCTCTCCTGCCTCCGCTCCGGCTGCGCGACGCGGCGCTGGCGGGGAGCGGCCCCACGTCGCGACGCGCCGCCCGGGGCGTCCCGGTGCCGCCGACGGCGGCTCCGGCGACGCTCGTGCGCAGGAAGAGCGTCACGGACTCGGAGCTGCAGCGGGCGCCGGGCTGGGCCCGCGGCGCGCCATGTGCCGAACGCAGCGTGATCTTCTTCTGCACCGTGTAGCTGGTGCCGGGAGATGGAGGCGATGGAGCTTGGAGGTCGGAGCTCGCGGCGGCCGGTGCCGCCGGTGCCGCCGCTGTCGACGGTGCTGCCACTGACGCTGATGCCGCTGTCGCCACCGGCTTTGCCTGTGTCTTGTTGTGTCCATCTGCTGAAGAGAGAGGGGTCATAGGTGACGGAGGTTGGAGAGGAACACATTTATAAAAATGTATGTCGTTCACTGGAAAGGCCAAAAGGCTGAATGACTAAAAATATTTTCTTCATTATCACGTGGAGGCACACATATGCTACTACCCATAATGCTCCACGGCAACGCATAATGGACGTCTGTGAAAAAAATCTTTGTAGCTCATCGGATTCCTCCAGTCTCAATAACGATTCCAACAACGGGTTCATGCACAGTCAGTAAAGCAGTGCGGAAGGAGTTACGTGCGAGGCGCAGCTAACACAGTGGCGACGTCCGACGCAATCGCTCAGCGCCGAGCTCGTATTCGAACCTTCCAGTGGGAGGTGGTGACAGATGACTTCTGATGAGTCCACCCGAGGGCCCGGCTTGGGCGATATATATATAAAAAAAAACTTCTCGGAAAAACAGCCTCTCCCCCCCCCCCCCATCCCCCATTAAGTAAAACCTCACGGCGAAAGGCAACGCAGAGACTCACGTGGCGTGGTGGGGGGAGGAAAGTCTGCGCGCAATCTGCGGAGCCCTGAAAGGGCCCCCCCCCCCCCTGCTAAGCTTGCCGCGTGCCCAGCGGCGTCGCCGCACATTTCTTGGCCGCCCTCGTTCGCCAATCAAAGCCGCGCGCAATCTCTCGTCCGCGCGACTGCCGGCAGGGGCGGGCGGGTGGGTGGGTGGGGGGAGGGGGTCTCCTTGGATGTTTGGCCTACTCTGCCCCCACCCCCCGGTGGGGGTAGATATTTCGGAAGAGGTGAGAGAGTGCCCACATTTTAACCCCACCAACCATCAGATGTGACCTGGGTGGACAGAACTGAGGTTGAAGGGGATGGGGGGGGGAGTGGTGGATTCTAGAAAATTGCGACAGCGTTTCACCGGCCGCGGCAGGCAAACGACCAGAGCCGTCCTCTGGATCGCAAGTCCAGTGTTCGGACGACCACACCCACGGCAGCATCGCGCATTCAAAGTACCATAAAATACATCGTGGAGGTCTTTTTTTGGGTTAGATCACGTAAATATATATATGGATGTGTCATTAAGCCCGCCACCACCCGAAAGAACCAACCGGTAATCTGGCTGTCGCCTGATGAATCTCGTTGTAATCAGGGACGGAGCCAGGGGGGGTGACAGGGGTGACATTCTGCGTGTAAGTGTACGACACTCGGTCTGGCGGACTCCGTGCCAACTGCATTGTCAGAGCGTGTCGCCAACCGATGGCGTCTAGTTGAACAGCCTGACTCTCTAATCATTCTTGAAATTAACATTTGTTGAATGTCACCCCGGCCTGAAATTCTGGCTCCGCCCCTGGTTGTAATTACTGGCGAAACGTCGTACTCAGATTGTAAATGTTGTGGCTTGGCTCTCCAACACACCGGTTAGTGCTGTACTCGTGACGAATTGGTCACGTTCTGTTTACGTGGCAACCCTTACTAGTTGTTCTGTGTCGGGTGGTGGCGGGTTTTAACGACACATTTATATATTTACGCGATCTGACCCCCCAAAAAAACAACTCTATTATGGATGATATTGGTCGCAAATACCATGAATATACATTGTTTGCATTCCAGTTTGATTTTATGACAGGAGTGTCAATGCAGTGTACCCATGGAATTGTCTCTTTAGCTGTGGTAGGTTCATTGGCGTTTGTTTGCTCGCAAAGTGCCATGAATGCAACCGAGCTTGTCGGATCTCTGAAGCTGAGCAGGCTTGAGGCTGGTTATTACTTGGATGGACAAACACCAGGGCTTGCCAGATGTTGCGAGGCTTTGACTGTCGAGGTAAACAGCAGATGGCAGTGTTGAGCATCATCCCTTGGGTATTCGTATGTATCATCCCTTAGGTATTCGGAGGTGCGGGGGAAGGAGAAAAAAACGAAACTCAAAAAGCAGTTCTTAATAAGAATTAAATAGAGGTGGGAGCGCCCACACTTTACCCCACCACTCACAGACTTCCAACTAACTTGACCGTGATGTCGCCATCTAAACTGCTCCGTGGACACATCAGGTGCGGGTGGTGGGAGGGATTGAAAAAAAAATGCCATTTGTTTTTTTACTTCCGCGCCGGGAGATGGAATCGAATTGGCGACCTCTGGATTGCAAGTCCAATATATATGTGTGTATGTTGAACTTATTTCGCACCGTATGTCGCCGACCGTGCTAATCGGAGGTGCGGCACAAACTAATCACACACAAAAATAACAAAAAAATAAACACTCGTTCGAAGAATTGGCCAAACATCCCAATGCAGCAGGGCCCTCCTGAACAAACAAAAAAAAGTCTAAATGAAACTTTCCTCGGCAAATTAATTGTCATTACTATTACTGTACGAGTATTGTCAATTCCCCGGGTAAATATAGCTTATAGCAAGCCCACAAGTCATAGTGGTGTGAAACATCAATGTTTCACAGAGCGATGGGGAAAAAGCATAGATGCGGGAAAGGTTGTTATTAAATCACGAGACATCGCCAGCTGGTAATTGGCGGAGAGGTAAGAAGATAAAGATACGCGCATCCAACATTATTTTGTGTTCGTTACGCGTGTCGGTGGCAATTTGAGTCGCGCTGAAAGGGGAAAAAAAATCCGGTGAAACTCGCCAATGATTTAATTTGCCAATTACATTTAAACATTCTCTCGCACTGTCAGCACACGCGGGGGTGGGTGGGGGGGTGGAGATGCAGCCCAGCTAAGCGCGGCATTGCTTGCTTTGCCGCACTGCCGTTCAACGCTCTGGAGGGTACTCTGGCCTACTCTTCACACACTGTACGTGTGTACGTTTAACTTCTTTCGGCACCGCACGCAGCCAACCGCGCTAATCAGAGGTGCGGGGGAAGGACAACAAATGAAACACAAAAAGCACTTCTGAATAAATGAGTTTTAAATCGAGATTCGAAAGCGCGTAGCTCCAGTGGCTTCCTGAGATCGGACAGAAGAGCGTTCCGGACGGCCCCAGAAGGGCATCTTAGAGCACGGGCGATGCGGTTAACCATCTTTGTTCGATGGGCAGCCAAAAACCGGTGCTGCGAGGAAGAGTTACCGGAGTTCACGTGATGGTTTAGGCTCCTGGACGAGATCAGCGAGGTGCTGTGGTTCATTTGTGGCGAGCACTTGGCGTGGTGTAATGAGTGCGACCTTACAACGGACGTGTTCGTTCGGAAAAAAAACCGGAAAGCCACTGCAGCTGGACACGTGCCGGAGCTGCTGACCATTTTTTTCGCACGGCGGCAATACCTGCATCGTTCCCCGGCACATTCTCAACGCGTTCCTGTTCGTCGAGCCTTGGGGAGGACGCCTCGCCATCACACGTTCCCGACTGCCGCTGCGGCTGCTGAAAAACGGCAGCCAACGCAGAGTTGGTTGGGGTGGGGGGGGAAAGGGAAAGAAGAGAAATTAATCATATATCTTGATCTGAAGCTTTCTCTGTTTCTTTCGGTAAAGTCAAGTAGATAGAAGAAAAAAATAATGAAAAAGCACGGCGTTTCGGTCGCAACACAAGCGTCCGTCATCAGGTGAGAAACAATGATTTGCTGTTGTGGCTTTATATAGGCGGAGGAAGGGGGGGGGGGGGGTTGTAGAGTCGTGGCTGCAGGAGTTCACGGGGGGGTGGGGGGGGAGAAGTGTTTGTGCCGTGCAGCGACGTGTGGGGGCTGGAGAGAAATAAGCATGTCAATGAGCTTGAATTAGTCAACGAAACCAGCACGGGTGGGTGAGCGGGAAAAGTCGCGGCAGTCAAAAACTCGACGCGGTTCATCACGCCCTTCCAACGATTGCTCAATCTGAATCTTATCTTCTCGAGGTAAGTTTTTTGTCCGTGTTTGCGTTTCTGTGAATCTGCCTCGTGAGCGGCGGCACAGCGCCACACTCATGTGCATCTGGCCCCATCCGTTGAAGTTTGGTGACATTGAGCACAGCGGCGGCGCTTGGCTGGCTACAAAGCGGATCGAGCAAGAGCATGGGGTCCCCAAGTAGCTCGAGAGGCAGGAAAAGATTCCCGACAAACAGTCAGCAACACTGAGGGCGCAATCATCAGGTCAAAATCGAATACTAATGAATATTTTACATACATACATTTTTGCGATCTCTCTCATCCCTACCTCGTCTGCATCCTCTCTTCTATCATCTTACGCATCTATATTTTTTGTCTGCGTCTCTATCTCACCACGTCCGCGGCTCTTGCCGATATCTCTTCTCTCATCTCACTAAACGTCTCTATCTTGCGTCTACATCTCTTCTTTTAACTCACGAGTTTTTTTTTTTTTTCAAACCAAAAATGTGGGGCCCCCAACCAAAAAACGAATTTCAAATTTGTTGTTGTACCACAGTTGCCGAGCACCGGTTCAAAAGGGGCCCAAAAGGCACGGTTGGCTACGTACGGCCCGAAAGAAGTTCTACGTACAGACATGAACGGCCAAGCGGCCAGTAACAACCAGCACTGTTGCGGTTGCTTCCGCGATAATCTAGAACGCTCTTCCTTCCGAAATTAGGAAGCCACTGGAGCTATGCACTTTTAAATCGTCTAGATTGTAAACTCATTTCTCTAGAAATGCTTTTTTTCTTTAGTTTTTAGTCCTTCCCCGCACCTCCGATTAGCACGGTTGGCTACGTACGTTGCGAAATAAGTTCAACATACACACATACATATTGGACTTGCAATCCTGAGGTCGCCAATTCGATTCCATCTCCCGGCGCGGAAGTAAAAAAACAAATGGCATTTTTTTTTCAATCCCTCCCACCACCCACACCTGATGTGTCCACGGAGCAGTTTAGATGGCGACATCACGGTCAAGTTAGTTGGAAGTCTGTGAGTGGTGGGGTAAAGTGTGGGTGCTCCCACCTCTATTTAATTCTTATTAAGAACTGCTTTTTTTGGGTTCCGTTTTTTCTCCTTCCCCGCGCACCTCCGAACAGCGCGGGTGGCCACGCACGGCTCCCAAAGAGGTTCGACGCACGTTCAAAACCTGCCAAAGCGGCCAGCAACAACCAGCGCCGTCGGGGTTGCAATCGTTCCTGGCACCGGCGCTGGGTCGGCACACCTGGGTGGCGGCGCAGTTGCTGTCGCAGGTAGCGCCCAATGCCCCCTTGTTGTCGTCGTCGTCGTCGTTGTTGTTGGCGTCGCTGCGGTCGCCTGCCTGCCAGGAGGACCCCGCCTGCTTGGGAGAGGGCATCAGGCTGATGCCGCTGATGGCCCTGCGCTCGAAGTACTGCGACGACGGGCTGACGATGACCAGCGAGCTCACCACCGATGCCATTCCCTGTGCGCGAGAGCGACGGACGGGGACATTTTTTTTTTGACGGGGTGTTTCACCCCCCCCCTCCTTCCCGATGCGCGACGTTGTCTTCGAATCGGTGCGGAAGGGATTCTTAATAGAGCTCGTTTAAAAAAAACGTGACCTGCACAGAAAGGTTATTTGGACAACCGGTTAAAAAGGTAATCGTGATGATAACAACGTAGCAATTCACATTTTGCGAGGCGCATTTCATCCGTAGATCACAACGCGTGCGTATGGAAAGCAGGAAATAATAAACATAAGCAGGGTAAACGCCCCCCCCCCTCCCCTGCCATTGAAATAGGTAGTTGAGCCACCCCCCCCCCCCCCCCGTTATCCCCGTGCGGCACAAGAAGACGACCGAGCACGTGGGGTCTGCAAGCGGGCGTTCGTCTGCCTGTTGAGGGTGGGGCGATGATTTCCGGTACAGTTATGCGGAATCCCAAATGAATAATTTCCTGTAATGTGTTACGATGAGAATGCTTCCGTAAAAAGCAACGCATAAATCAGAACAGACGTAAGTGGCTGCTACGGAGACGGAATTCCACCGTGGGAAATGATAAGTTGTTCAACTTATTTAAATAATAACATGAAAAACAGGGAAGTTTTGATGATAATTATCTCGAAGTTATTTCTCCAACTTCTTAATGGAAACGCACGAAATGGACTTCCTTCACCGGTCAAACTCCCTTCGCCATCGACACGAGCGCCGCGTCACGTTCACGTTTCCTCGTGCGGTGACTACGAGACGCAAAGAAGTGTCGTGGCATCAAAAAACACAACAACGAGTATGTCACAGTGTCTCCCTGTTCACGCGACCGCTTGGGTGGCACCCACCGTGGCTGGGTGGCCTTAACGCCGCTCGGCTACTAACATTACGCATGCCACCTTTGCATTATTTACACCGCGCCTCCACGTGCATAGTGGCATCCCGAAGCGCCGAAACAACGTGGGTGTTTGAGAACGTCACAAGATCGCTCATAAAGGAAGCGATGGCAGGCTATGTATGGTATGGGGAGGGTCATTCCCGTTGGCTCGAGTGCCCCCCAACAGAGATGACCGTGCCAAACCCGCCCGGTGCTCATCTGAGCAGGGAGATAATTTGTCTTCCCACAAAGTGGTATTTATTTTACCAGCCCACCTAGGGGTTGATCGATGGGCTGAGCCGAACCCCCAACCAGGATCTGAACTTACAACCTTTCTGGATGTGAGGCTCCCACTCTCAACAACAATGTGTCAGCTGTGCACATCGTTTTGTTAGTTTCGGTTCGTTGAGGTGACCAAAATAAAAAAAAACGCTCTTCTTTTGAACCGCTGAAAAACGACGATGTAGCCGATATGTTTGTTTTCACGGTTGCGCCGAACGTCGCTGGGTGCTACGTCCAACGTTTTACTCCGCGTGCTGGGAGCTTCCTCAGAGACCCTTCGGCTCTTGAGGAAGCTCCCCAGCACCTGGCGTGGAACCCGCATCGTCAAAGAGAGAGATTTACCACGTGCGTATGTGTGTGTGTGTTGAATTCTCTCGCGCCGTACGTAGCCAACCGAGCTTAGCGGAGGTGCGATTAGCATGGTAGACTGTTGGTGCAGTGGGTCAGCGCTACAGTGCTGTGAACTCTGCAAGGTGGGTTCCTGGCCCCGGCTAGCATCAGTGGCGAGCGAAATCTGAACTGGGTCTCTGAGCCTCCCTATCTACTTCACCAACCTGCAATGACCAGCGTGGTGAAGTACGGCCAAACGATCCACGTGACCAACAGCGTTGGGAAGCCTTCAATCCAGCACCCGATTGATACAGTTATTAAAAACGATGTTTTTTTTTATTTTCACTGTTACGATTATTTGTACAGTTTAATCGGGTTGTATTGCAGTCGTGTAAACGGCTAAAGGACACTTGACGTGCAATCCAGAGGTTTTCCGGTTCAACCTCCCGGCGCAGCAGTTGACACCAACGGGAAACGTCTTAAAATCTCCCTCGCCTCTGTCCACCCGGTCGTACAGACGGGTGCACCAAAGTAGTCGACAAGTCGGCAAGGGTTCATCGTCGTGTGTGGTGTGGTGGGGTAAAGTGTAGGTGCTCCCCGGCTCTATGCAAGACGTCCAGTCGACGTGGAAGAGTAGGCCAAAAACACGATACCGCCCGCTCCTTCAGATGCCCTTCTTTGCCAGGAGTGGGAACGAGCAATAAATTGTGGAGGTGGGGGGGGGGGAGGGGGCTGCTGTAGCTTTACCTTTGTACGGTTTAACTCCGGGAAAAAAAATGGTCCTTGCTGCAGTCGAAATCAAATCCCGGGAGGAGTGGTTGTCAATGGGAACATTGCCACAAACACGTGGCGTTAGGGCAACGTCCCAGCTAAGGGGAAAGACAGCTGTTGGGAACGGGAAGCTTCGCGGGATTGCGGCTCTTCTCACTCCGCGGGGATTACGCGGGAGTAATCTAACACGGCTTTATTGGAACAAGAACATCACCATTAACTCTTGCAGGTCTGACACATTACCGTATCGTTTTCGAAGGGAATAACAAACAAATAAAGGATCCCCCCCCCCATCCACGTCAGAGGAATTCGCCAGCAACGCGTCCTTTGTGACGCCGCAAACAAGGTGGCCGTAAATGCTGTAAATAGCCATCAAGGGTCTTAACGGTGGCATGTGATATACTGGCGCTGGATAGACGTGGGTGCACGTTTCTTCCCGGCGGTCGCGAAGTGGAAACGCTCCGAAGGGTACCGGGCAATGGATGTGCAGCATCAGCAGCAGCAGCAAAAAAACACATGAGGAGTCAAGAGTCGTATTCGAGGTGTGTTCTACTCGGAGATTGTGCGCTATGCCCCACCTGCTGTATTTGTAGGACATTGCACATTTTGGAGGGGGAAAAGTTAAAGCAGATCTGTGGTCGTGGTGGTGGTGGTGGTTGGCCCCATTGGGGAGCCTAACTAGAAGTTGTCTTGGCGCCACGCTGGCTGGGAGATGTTAACAACCTCGCCTGGTATACAGGAGGACGTGGGTTCGATCCCAACCCTGACGCTTGGCGTATGGAGTTTGAATGTTTTTCTCTTCCCGTGGTCGCGTGGATTTTTCTCCGAGTCCTCCGGGTTTTCCCTCCTAATTTAGCAGTACGCGCTTAGACTATTTGACTGCAATACATTTCCACATGATAAGCCATTTTCGTTGGGCTATCATTTGCGGCCAGGTCACTTCTGAAAAAAAGAGCTGTATAACTCAGTGGGCCTTATCTGGTAAAATAAAAAAAATAGTTTAAGGTTTGGTGTTTATGGCAAGCATACTGAATGTGCAATCCAGAAGTGGCTGGATCGGTTCGACATCCCGCCGCGGCAGTTGAAATAAAGTTAAAGTTTATTAAACCATCACCCAACTGCGTCCAACCAGCAGTATTAAAGGGTTAAACCAGTTAGTCGATCTGCAATTTGCGTGTGGTGGGGTCAAGTGTGGGCACTCCCACATTTTCCACCGTGGAAGAGTAGGCCAAAATCCCCTCTAATGGAGCTCTTATTACTAAACTTGTTTGTTTTACCAGGTAAGTCCCACTGAGCGCTAAAGCTCTTTTTCAGAAGCAACCTGGCCATAAATGAAAGCTGAACGAAGCGGCGTATCACCAAGTAGAAATTTACAGCAGCCAAATGCTCTAAATGCGTAATGTTGAATAGAGATGTTGAGGGAAAAACCGGAGGACCCGGAGAAAAATCCACGCGACCACGGGGAGAGACACCGCAAACTCCAAATATACAGCAGGCGTCAGAGTCGGGATCGAACCCACCACCTCCTGCACACCAAGCGAGGTAGTTAACATCTCACAGCCACCGCGGCACCCTGTGGAGTGGACGTCGAGGTGATGGGCCAGGCCAGGAATGAATGGACAGAGAGACGGAGGAGGGCAGAGTCCACGCGTTTCGCCCGAAAATGCCAGGAAGAGACAAAGGAGAGAGAGTTCGGGAGAGCAAATCAAATATACCCCTCTAGCACTCTCTAGAAGTGGCCCTTCTGCCAACAATAGCCTGAGTACATGTTTGGAATGCTGCACCTTTACCTTTTGGCCTTGACTTTGATTAAAAAAGAAAAGTGATGTTGATGCATGCATAGGTTAAAGTAAAGAATAATCCGATCGACTAATGCATAGCGCATGGCTCTGCATATATTTACTTTTGCCTATTAGCAGTGGTCATGAGTCCCCGGCACTTCCGATTAGCGCGGTTGGCTACGTACGGCGCGAAAGAAGTTCAACACACGGTGCATACGCACTTGAGTCGCGAGCAGACGATGTTCAGGGCAACACGAGCTGGCACGGTCAAAGTGGACAGGATGAGCGGTGTGAGGTGTAGCTGCCAGGTTGCCCAGCGTGGATTCCACGACTCTCGTTAAAAACCCGGCCAGTGGTAGTGGTGGTGGCCGCCAATTGGAGGTCCTCAGCAGAAATAATGTTATCGTGTTGGGGGGTGCGGGGCGGGGGGGGTGGGATTTAAATTTATAAAATCCAAGCGAGATGACAGAAGGGATATGTGGACAAGAGATGCGGATGTAGTGAGATTGGGGAAATGTAGACACTTTACAGAGATGTGGTGAGATGAGAGGATAGAGATGCAGACAAGATAGAGATCAACCGGCTTTTTAATGTTGATTAACTTAATTAGCGTCTGAATCCGAGCTTATAATTTGCCCACGCCTCATTTTGCATGTACTGTATGAATTTCGATTGTTTTGATTTAAAGCTTTCGTGACTGCAGTAATTCATATTCTTGGTTCTTTCGGTAAAGTCACGTTGAAGGGAAACAATAAAATAATAAAATATATGTTTTAGTCACGTTGAAGGGAACCAAGAATATGTATGAATGTTCTGTACGTTTAACTGTTTTTCGCACCGTACGTAGCCAAGCCTTGCTGAGCGGAGGTGCCGTGGAAGGACAACAAACTAAATTCCAAAAGCAGATCTAAAGAAAACGAGGTTTCAATCGAAAAATTAGATTTCAAATTTTTTT